ATATATGGTGTGACTATAAGAGATAAAGTCAGTACTAAAGAATTGCATGAAAGAACCACGGTACGGGACATGGTCAATGTAATTTATGAGGCAAAAAGAAGATGAGCAGGGCATATAGCACGAACAAAAGATAACTGGATATCAAGAGATCACAAGCAGCCCTTGGGCAGACAACGTACTCGATGGGATGAACCAATGGTTAAGCAATTCAGCCAGAAATGGAAAAGAAAAGCACAGGATCGTATATTTTGGCAAATGGTAGATTTGTGTAAAACCCAAAGGAGTGGATCGATGACAAATCGGAAAGGACAGAACACACAATGGCATAGTTAAATGGCATCCCTTATTTAAAATGGAAAATCCAAGGCTTTCTTTGGTGTGTGTTTTCAAGCTGTTGATGGTGGAAGCCATGGATGCAGAATCTGTGGGTACAGAGGGACAACTGTGTTTGTTCTTAGCACTGCATGCCCTGTTCTTCATTTCCTATTCTCTTGCATAACAGTATTACATGCTATTAAACAGCTGCTACATTTCCCCTGTGATTATTTAGCTCATTACAAATGTCACTTGTTCATATTACCTTGATGTAAGAAGTGCCCGCTTCCTTAACTGATTAAACAATTCTAACAATGTTGTCCTCTGTCAACATTTGCCAAGTTTAAAAGTAAGTGGCATCTGAGAAAGAACATTATTTAGCTACTCCTGTATCTCCCAGTGAATCAGTATCTAATGTACCTTTAACTCAAGAGATAACATTATTGTGGGCTGCTAGTATTATAAAATTCTAGGGAAGAACAGAAGGAAGCATGTGTTTGGAAATTACATATAATGAGCCTAGATCTCAAGGAAGCAAGTTTTTTTTTTACACTGTCACTTTGCCAAAGAGCAACTAACAGTAATCTTAAGAGCTCTGTTATCCAACACAGACACACAGTAAACACGTGGAGCTATAAGCAAACAGGATGCATAATGACTAATGGTGTCTGAGACACAGTCAGCTCACTCTTAAACCTAGATTAAAATATGAATATATCAGGGGCAAAAGGAGAAATTGAGAGACAATAATTACAAAATATGAAGAATGGACAGAAATATCTGAAAAACTTGGAAAATGCATTTATGCTTGAACATAGATCCTTTATGTTTAAAAATTGTGCAACATCCTTCAACAGCTGTTTATAAAAATTATGTGTTGATAATATGCAATAAGTCTTATCCCATTCATATATGAACAATATGTTGCATCAGACCAAATGTCTGTTCAGTCCAGTGTTTTATTTGCAGAGCTACCAAAGGAAAGCCCAAAAAGATATGAATACCTGTTACCTTTATAGAGACATACCACCTCTGGTCATAGAAATTATATATATATCCATCATGAAAAATACTCACATACAGCTCTTCTTACAAAAAAGTGTGCAGATCCTTTTAAAAACTTCATTTCACTGTTGAGGCACATTCCATAGTTCAGGAGGCTTAAGAAGAAATGAATCAGCTTCAGTGGGTTCTAGCACTGTTTATAGAATCCTAGAGCTTGATTCGACCCCCAGGGTCATCCAGTCCAATCCCCTGCCATGTAGAAACACACAATCAAGGCACAGATGGTCATTCAGCCTCTGCTTAAAAACCTCTAGAGGAGATTCTGCCACACTCCTAGGCAGCATACTCCACTGTTGAACAGCTCTTACCATCAGGAAGTTCTCCCTAATGTTTCGATGGGATCTCTTTTCCTGCAATTTGAATTCATTGCTCTTTCTCTTAATCTCTGCAACAGCAAAAAACAAGCTTTTCCCTCTCTTCAATGTGACATCTTCAAATTTTAAAACATGGTTATGATGTTTCCTCTCAAGCTTCTCTTCCCCAAGCAAAACATACCATTTCCCTAAGCTGTACCTCATAGTACTTTGCTTTCAGAGCTTTTACCATTTCATTCAAAAGAGAGAAATGTTTATCCCCTATCTCTATATTGTGCATGTTATGTATTTCTACCAAGTCTTCCATTGTTTGCCTTTGTTCTAAGTTAAACAGACCAATTGTCTAACCTTCCTTTTATACTTCTGGAATTTCCATTGGCAACTGGACTAAATAGCTCTTTGTGTGATGCGACACCGATTTTTCTTCTATTCTTAATATGCAAACAGAGTAAGACTTACCAGCTCCAGGAAGCATATAGCTGTTTTGGCACAATAGCACCAATAGTACATTTCTAGGCACAATTTAAAGTCCCAGTTTAGGGTGAAAAGATGTAAATGATAAAATAATACCAACAACAACAATAGTAATAGGTCATAAGAAAGGCAGCCACTGTGCCTGTAAGATAGACAACTAGCAAAGACTTCACCCCCACATTCATTAGACGGATATATGTGAAACTGCAGTTATTATCTCTCGAAGTAATGTCAGTCATTAAGCTTACCTTCAGTGATTATCTGATAAATTGTCTGTGAAAAAGTAAGGAGAATAGGTGCTCTGTCTCGCAACAGGATCATTCAAATATCACAGTTCTTTTCATTGAAATTATGACTGCTTAATATGCTTTGGCAGTGGAAAACATGCATTTCTCAATTGGTCAAGGGTAATAAGTGATCTTAAAGTATCATGGAATTAGCCCTCTCTAGAGGAAACGGTCTCTAATTATCTTTTTGGTTCAAGAACATCCTTCCAAAAGCCAACAATTAGCCATGCTAATTCCCAGAAGGACTTAAACAGTGAACCAATCAATCACTACTGAATATATAATAACAGAATGCAGCTTTGGCAATAAATGAATCAAGGTACTAAATGATGCTACAGGTTGGGGGTTTGGGGGGGGGGGGTTAAATAAAAAAACACACTAGTATTCAACTAGTTCTTTATTGCTTGTAATAATAGTGTGGGTTTGTGTGGAATAATCAGAGTTTATTCAACGTAAAAAGATACATCAATCGCATAGTGCATAAAAATATAATCACAGCAATAATTTCCCAGTTGCAGAAGAAAGTAAAGCTATTTCATGCTTAATATGTTTCTCCCAAATACATGGTCAGTATGATGGACTGCAACTCCCCAAAGTGCTCATAGTCAACATTGCCTGTGGTGCTGACATCCAAAACATCTCAAGTAGTCAAAACTGCTCACTTCTGGTCTAATTGATAACTAGGTATCTTTTTATTCTTCCTAAAAGCAGCTTTTAAAGAAAGCTTAAGCCCTCCTACAAGAGGAAACAATTCTTAATTTGAATCTCAGTGCAATAGAGTGATCTCTACCACCATCTAGGGGCAACTCAATATATAGACTTTGACTAAGGCCCCTTCCACACAGATGTATAAAACTCACATTGAACTGTATTATATGGCAATGTGGACTCAGATAACCCCATTCAAAACAGATACTGTGGATTACCTGCTTTGATATTCTGAGTTATATAGCTGTGTGGAAGGGCCCTGAGTTAACTAGATTTCTTTGAACTATAGCACTCTTTTGACAGAAGACTACCTTGACAGCTCAGCAGATTCAAGAATAACATGTGAACATATAAAGTTTGAATTCATTTAACACAGTGGTTCTCAACCTTTGGGTCCCCAGGTGTTTTGGCCTTCAACTCCCAGAAATCCTAACAGCTGGTAAACTGGCTGGGATATTGGGAATTGTAGGCCATGACACCTGGGGACCCACAGGTTGAGAACCATTGGTTTCGTGATTTGGATTCTGGATTATGACTGGGGACCAGGGTATGATTCCCCTTTTGACCATGGACACCCACTGGGTGAACTTGGACAAGTCACATTCTCTCAGCTTCAGAGGAAGACAATGGCAAACCCGCTTTGACAAATCTTGACAAGAAAACGTTAGGTTTGATCATCGTAAGTCTGAAACGATTTGAAGACACAAAACAACACCAAGGTATATAGACAAATAAGCTCTAGGTTTACTTCGATGTTTGATGGTAACCTCTACTTTTGAACAGTGGTACCAGCTAGTCAAACAAAAGTGATCATTTCAATTTATGTGCTTCCGTCAAAGTATAAAACTGTATTAAGCAAAAAACTGTTGTAAGATTTTAACACCAGCACTTTCAAGGCAGCAGCTGCACTGTCATGGGCATCATTTTGCATGGCTGAAAGTGGGAAAGGCATTGTTTTGAAGAGGAAGGTTGATGTTTTAGATTTATTTGTTTACTGGCTTTATTTTTATCTCACCTTTTTCTTCCCACCTAAGATCTTGCAATATTCCATCGAGGAATATTATACTAAAAATGTTTTTCCCCAGCTTATTTTACAGACAAGATTTCAATCCCATCCTGGAAGAAAGGAAGGGAGATTAATCAGATAAATACATAAATAATTAAAAACAGGATATAATGGGGATCCTGAGGGCTCTCGTAGATCCTTCAAAAGACTTCCTGAAGTCCATGTCCCACAGTATTTCCATCTCGGAAATAAAAGAATATATTTTATGAAGCTGTAATTGGCTGTAGACCACAGAAACATGATTTTAGAGCCAATGATGGTCTGTCATAGTTACATGTGAAATCAGCCCACAATAATAAAATGAAACCATTTCAGTATAAAGATTGGGTTGTCAATAAAAAGTTCCCATTCTAGCATGCTCTGAGGAAAAACATGAAAATAAGCTGAAATGGACAAACCACTTCTTCTTGTACATGGTAAACCAGGCTCCTTGAAGATCCCTGACAAGTGCTGATTTATTAAATATGCTCATAAGGTCCCCAAATGCTACAGAGAAACAAGTGGGAAACTTGCATCAGTATCAAGTCTTGATTAACATGATGTTTTTCTAAACTTAAGTAAAAACCAGGATTAAAGTGCTGAACTTGCTGACCAAAAGGTTGGTGGTTTGAATCCAGGGAGCCAGGTGAGCTCCCGCTGTTAGCCCCAGATTCTACCAACTTAAAAGTTTGAAAACATGCAAATGTGACTAGATCAATAGGTACCGCTTCAGAAACATTGACTAGTCATCAGAGTTTTTTTATTATTTTAAAAGAGCCCCAGCATCCATACCTTTCACTTTCAGCCAAAACTGTACCTTCCTCCTTCAGACGCTTGCTTTTGGCCAAACACTCTTCTAGCAGAAGACCCTTTTTCCTTTTAGCTTCACTAATCCAATCAACATCACCATTGTCAACAAGACCCTGTTCATCTGCAGCCTGAGCTTCAAACTGCTGAGATGATACTCTTGATACCTTTTCACCAATCTTCCTCTTCCATCCAAAGGAAGCCATTTCTGAAAACTGAAAAGAGAGTATTTCTTAATATCTGATGCCATTTTAATGTTCTGTGTTTACTGATCACCACTAACATTTTGTTTAATCTAATAAATGGCTTCCATATATTTTCAAATAGGTCTTCTTTTATTTCTCCTTTTGATGATTGTAATTTATGGGTTAATTTCTCGAATAGTGTTATAGCCCATAAACTATTTAACTATTTTTTAAATAAAATCTTTAGGTTTTTTATTCTTCTGACCATTCTGAGTCTTAAGGCACATAGAATCATAGAATAGAGTTGGAAGAGATCATATGGGCCATCTATTCCAACCCTCCGCCATGCAGGAAAAGCACAAAGTATCCCTGACAGGTGGCCATCAGCTTCTGTTTAAGATTTTTCAAGAAAGGCATTTCTATCACACTCCGAGGCAGAGAGTTCCACTGTTGAACAGCTCATGTGGTCAGGAAGTTCTTCCTAATGTCCTGTAATTTGAATCCATTGCTCTTGGTCCTAGTTTCAAGGGCAACAGAAAACAACTCTTCTCCCTCTTCCTTATGACACCCTTTCATATATTTATACATGGCTATAATGTCTCCTCTCAACCTTCTCTTCTGTAGGCTAAGCATACTCAGTTCTTTAAGACGCTCCTCATAGGGCATGGTCTCCAGACCTTTGATCATTTTAGTCCCCTCCTCTGAACATGAATAAGCATGAATGGTAGAAAATTATATTGAAAAAAAGATGTTGTAGATTTCAAGTTAAACCTGTACACAACATTCTGAGTCACTTTCCAAAACACCCTGACATGTTCTTCTAATGTGATAACACCCAACACACTAGGAAAAGAAACACATAACAAGTATGACAGAGATGGTTTGGAAATATTGCTTGTGTTTACTGATGAATTTGTTTAATTTCAGTGGCAAACAACTGAACAAAAAAAATTGTTCTTAACTCACTTCCCTAGCCTTCATTGGAAAGCACCTGGGGTTAAGCTAATGATTCCCAACCCTTATTTTGGCCATGCCCCACCTAAACATTTCTAAAATCCTCATTCCACTCATCCTCTCTCACCTTGGTGACATAAAATTCTTATTATTCAAAAATAACTCCTATTCATGTGGAGGAAGCCTAAAGGCCGCTAACTAAACAAGCTTCCAAAGAACATGGCATCTATGAAAGAGAGAAATAAAATAACAAATTGATTTGAGTAATCTGCATCAACTTGAGGGTGCCTTAAGTGTTAAACTTCACTGCATGTATTTAGTGAGAAGATGCGAGTACATCCTGCCACCTGAGATTAATTTTCCTGTGGCTGACAATTATTCATGCACACACACACACACACACAAATACTGACATGTCTATGAAAGTAATAATTGTGCTTTGGATTTTTCACAGATTTTTTTTACTACATTCATATGCAGAACAAAAATGTATGCTTATATGTTTTGTATAGCTTGTCATGCGAAAACAACACTGGGAGGAGTGGGGGTGTTTGGAATGAAAGTTGCCTCAATTTTCTGTTCTCATGCACTCTCTAGTTCACACTGTGCTTTCCCCACTCCTCTCTATGAGTGGGCTTTGCGCCTCTCTGTTGTTACCAACTGACCACTCTGTACACTCCGGTTTTAACTTTTAACACGTGTATGTCACAAAATATATTTATATACTGTATGTGAGGCCCCTAGAACCATAAGAAATGCAAAAAGTTCACTGTTAATAACTCATTCTCGAATTGCCCCCCTGTCGGGCATGTGCCCCACATTGGAAACCAGGGAGTTAGGCTGAGCGGCAGATGGAAGGAAAGGAATGGCAACCTTAAATGGCCTTCAGAAAGTAAGGAAGGAAAAAACCTGATCCTGAGACTTTTCATCCTAATTGTGAGCAGTAGGAAATGGAAGAAAAACAGTTTTCAATAGAAAATAAAAGAAGGTACAATCATAGGTGATATTTGATGACTGACAACCTTTAATCACATTTTAAAGGAGCAAATGAATATTATAAATATAGGTTTCAATTATTAATGGGTGTAAATTAGGGGAGAAGTGTATGATGTGTACTTTGTGCCAGTTGAAGAAATTAGATTTCATAAGAACCTCCCACCTAGAATTCCAAAACCCCAAAATTATCAATTTGTCCAATTGAGATGTTGACATCTTTGCATTTCAGTGTACACAAACTTTGCTTCATGCACAAAACTATTAAAATTCCCCTCAGACTAAGTGTATAAAGGTTTATGAGTGATTATTATTATTATTATTATTATTATTATTATTATGTTTATTTATACCCTGCTTTCGCTCTTTATAAGAGTCACAAAGTGGCCTACAGTAAAATCAAAAGAAATACAACTTAAAACCAAGAAATATACAAACCTTAAAAGAGAATTAAATATTGGGTTGGTGTGAGTTTTCTGGGCTGCATGGCTGTTTCAGAAGCATTCTCTCCTGACGTTTCACCCACATCTATGGAAGGCATTCTCAGAGGTTGTGAAGTTGCAACAGACTTCACAATCTCTGAGGATGCCTGCCATAGATGTGGGTGAAACGTCAGGAGAGAATGCTTCTGGAACATGGCCATACAGCCCGGAAAATTCACAGCAAGCCAATGATTCCGGCCATGAAAGCCTTTGACAACACAGAATTAAATATTGATAGTATTAAAAAGTAAACAATTAAATGTTTTATCCTGTTAATTTATACAATATGATTATGTCAATTATGGGTTAATTAAGTTGTATATTTGGTTATTTTATTTGGTATTAAGTTTATAGTTAGGTTGTTTGTATATTGTTTGATGTATTCGCTTTGATGTAATTTGTTTCTATTTTCTTTGTTGGAATTGAATGTTTGCTTTATGTGTTGGAAACCGCCCTGGGTCCCTTTGGGGAGATGGGGGGGGGGAGTCTACAAATAAATTATTATTATTATTATTATTATTATTATTATTATTATTATTATTAAAATCAGTTAAAGACTGATAAAAAACAAAATGTACTTCATGTACAGTCTTAGGTCCCATCTCCAAGATATCTCATTATCTAGATACATCTAAAGTATTAATGTTTTGGAAAGAAGTGGAGACATGATAGCCATGTATAAGTATGTGAAATGAAGTCATAGGGAGGAGGGGGAAAGCTTGTTTTCTTCTGCCCTGGAGACTAGGACGGGGAACAATGGCTTCAAACTACAAGAAAGTAGATTCCATCTGAACATTAGGAAGAACTTCCTGACTGTGAGAGCTGTTCAGCAGTGGAACTCTCTGCCCTGGAGTGTGGTGGAGGCTCCTTCTTTGGAGGCTTTTAAACAGATGCTGGGTGGCCATCTGTCGGGGGTACTTTGAATGCAATTCTCCTGCTTCTTGGCAGGGGGTTGGACTGGATGGTCCACGAGGTCTCTTCCAACTCTGTAATTCTAAGTTATCCCAAACATTTCTGGTCCAACGCATTTCAGATAAGAGACACTCAACCTGTATGAAGGATTATAACGACGGTAAATCAGAAGTCACTTCAATTTTTCTATGCTTTCCCTCTGGCTGTACTTTTCTTTTCTTTCTTTCTACCTTTGTTTACTTCCTCTTTCCATCTTACCCTCCTTTTATTTATTTATTTACAGTATTTATATTCTGCCCTTCTCACCCCGCAGGGGACTCAGGGCAGATTACAATGTACACATATATGGCAAACATTCAATGCCAAGACTGGATGGCCATCTGTCAGGGGTGATTTGAATGCAATATTCCTGCTTCTTGGCAGGGGGTTGCACTGGATAGCCCATGAGGTCTCTTCTGACTCTTTGATTCTATGATTCTAAGACACACAACAGATAGAGACAAAGAGTCAGAGGCTATTTAACTTTTTTCTGGCTGCCAGGGGAACTGTCACTTTCATCGTCCATCTGCGACACTGATGAAGTACTTCCGCATTCCCCGCATGCTTTTGGCTGGAGTCTTTTTTATAGCCTCGTAAATGTTGTTAAATTAGCCTCCCCACACATAGGTGGTACCTAAATTTCCTACTTGACGGATACAACTGTTTTTCAGGTTGCAAATGTCGACAACAAGCTACACAATTGGTCGGAAGCTCACTCTGACCGGGGCTGGCTTCGTACTCATGACCTTGTGTTATGTTAATTACATTACATTTTTATTTATATACTAGCTGTCCCCTGCCACGCGTTGCTGTGGCCCAGTCTGTTGATCTGGAAAATACAGTAATGAGAAAGTGTTGGTTTCTAATATTTCTTTCTTGTGGGTAAACAGTATTTCTTGTTGTTTCTTTGTCAGTGTTGATGTGGATTGTCTGGTTTGGCCCACCCTGGAACATGCTGTGATTAGCTCTGCCTCCTTAGTCCACAAGTTTCTTCTTATGTTGAGATATACATATCCCCATTTGCAATATATATGCTTTCTCTACTGGCAACAAAGATCCGCCTAGTCAAAGCCATGGTATTCCCTGTAGTAACCTACGGATGTGAGAGCTGGACCTTAGGGAAGGCTGAACGAAGGAAGAGCGATGCTTTTGAGCTGTGGTGTTGGAGGAAAGTTCTGAGAGTGCCTTGGACTACAAGAAGATCCAACCAGTCCATCCTCCAGGAAATAAAGCCCGACTGCTCACTGGAGGGAAAGATACTAGAGACAAAGTTGAAGTACTTTGGCCACATCATGAGGAGACAGGAAAGCCTAGAGAAGACAATTATGCTGGGAAAGCGGAAGGCAAAAGGAAGAGGGGCCGACCAAGGGCAAGATGGATGGATGGCATCCTTGAAGTGACTGGACTGACCTTGAAGGAGCTGGGGGTGGTGACGGCCGACAGGGAGCTCTGGCGTGGGCTGGTCCATGAGGTCACGAAGAGTCGGAGACGACTGAATGAATGAACAACAACAAATCTATCTATCTAATCTATGGCTGGATGGCTCTTTGTCAGAAGGACTCTGATTACGTTTTCTTGCCCTGATGAAGTGAGTTGGATTGGATGGCCTTAAGTATTTTCTGTTGGTCATTGGGGTTCTGTCGTTTCTGGGGTTCAGAATGCTCTTTGATTGTAGGTGAACTATAAATCCCAGTAACTACAACTCCCAAATGCCAAGGTCTATTTTCCCCAAACTCAATTTGTGTTCATATTTGGGCGTTCATGCCAAGTTTGGTCCAGATCCATCATTGTTTGAGTCCACAGTGCTCTCTGGATGGAGGTGAACTACAACTCAAGATCAGTACCCACCAAACCCTTCCAGTATTTTCTGTTGGTCATGGGAGTTCTGTGAGCCAAGGTTGGTTCAATTCCATCATTGGGTGGAGTTCAGAATGCTCTTTAATTGTGGGTGGACTATAAATCCCAGCAACTACAACTCCCAAATGACGAAATCATATTTTTTGAGTGATGGTCACTCCTTGTATTTTGAGATGTTTTGTTGCCAAATTTGGTGTGATTTCGTTCATCAGTTCTTTTGTTTTTAAGGTACTCATTATGCACAGAGAATTTATATATATATAGATGATAGATAGATAGATAGATAGATAGATAGATAGAAACACAGAGTGCGAAGAGACCCCCAAGGGCCATCCAGTCCAACACTGTCCTGACAAAGAGAAATGCACAATCAAATCACCCCCGGCAGATGGCCATCCAGACCTTGTTTAACAAACTATTTGGCCTATATTATTTTAATGTATTTGGAAATCCTCAATATATGTACATATATATATATACCAGGCATGGGCAAACTTCGGCCCTCCCAGTGTTTTGGACTCCAACACCCACAATTCCTAACAGCCTACCGGCTTTAGGAATTGTGGGAGTTGTAGTCCAAAACACTGGGAGGGCCGAAGTTTGCCCATGCCTGGTATATACATTCTATATCTGTCTATCTATCTAAATAGGGGAAGGTGGGCCTGCATTGGCTCAGGCAAGGAATGTATAAAGAAGGCCTTTCCCCCTCCCCAAAACCTGTTACCTGGGCTTCTCTTCTTCCCCTCTGGACTAAGCCCTGCCTCTCCGAACCGGAAACAGAAACATTCCGCCAATGAGGGAAAAACCTGCCTCTTTGGTAGCCCCATCCCAGGACTTCCGGTCTTACAGCGGAAGCCGGTTTTTCCCACCTTGTTTTATAACTCTATGGAATAGTTTGTCGTAGAATCTCTAGAA